TCCTGGTCTTCACTACGCCACGTAAGCCCTAGCAGTCACCTAAGTTGGGCCTGGCAATCCAGCCCAACTCAATAAACTGTTGGCCCAACGCTGGGGTCTCTCTATAAATACCCTCTTCCACAAGAGGGTCAGGTAATTCACTTCTTACCCACTTTCTGTACTTTGCTCTCACTCTGTCCAAATTCTTACTTTGGCATCGGAGTGTCTTGCAGGTACACCCCCCTTCTCCTCCCCATCATCGGTGAACAGGTAGCAGTCCAACAGTGTGTGGCCAGCCCGTGATCCCCTCCTGATCAGGTCAGATCAATATATATATATATATATATATATATATATATATATATATATATATATATATATATATATATATATATATATATATATATATATATATATATATATATATATATATATATATATATATATATACACACACACACACACACACACACACACACACACACACACACATATAACGTCCAATAACATTTTCCGCGTTCTCACCGCAACTCACCTCACCAATCCATGCACCGCAATGTATCCACACATGTATCTATATTTAAGTAGAACACCAAGCATATGCAATATGCGTCATCAATGTTTATATCAATTCATAAACACACACACACACACACACACACACACATATAAATACATATATATATATATTCAAACATACATATACATCTTCAAGCATCTTCATTCATGCCAAACATCACAATTCACATTAACTCAATAAACATACACAACATGTTTATTTCATCACTAATTCACATAAAAATCTACATTCATGTTCATTTCATCATACATCATATAAAGATGATAAATGCAAATCGTAGGGCCAACTCGCCACTCTATGCAAATGTAATACGATACCGACATTAATCGTCCATCAGATTCTCCTAAGAATCAATTCACTCACGCCCCTCACGGGTACACTGTAACTCATCAGATTCTCCTAGGAACCACATCGCTCATCAGATTCTCCAAGGAATCACATTGCTCATCAGATTCTCCGAGGAATCACATCACTCATCAGATTCTCCAAGGAATCACATCGTTCATCAGATTCTCCGAGGAATTACATTGTTCATCAGATTCTTCGAGGAATCACATCGTTCATCAGATTCTCCAAGGAATCACATTGTTCATCAGATTCTCTGAGGAATCCTATCACTCATCGGACTCTCCTAGAAATCCTATCACTCATCGGACTCTCCTAGGAATCCTATCACTCATCAGACTCTCCTAGGAATCAACAGCACAAGAATGTACTTCATGATGCTTCACATGCAAAATGACCCCATACACCTCTTGAAATGCATACATGTTTACAAACATACTCATGCATTCTTCACATTCATCGCATATATTCATTATGCATTCACAATAGATATACATATCACAATACATATATACATATTCATCATTCATTCACCCTAATTCATACCTGGTTTATATTCATCATTCGATCTCAACATGCATTTATATTCAATTCTAGTAAATGCACCAAATTGTCAAACAGCCACATTCCACACTTCACAAATCACAAACTAGGATTCACGCCATATGGCTACCCACAACACACATAACAGCATATAATTAGTCATCTCAGACAAAGAATGATTGCAACCAAACCACACAACCAATCCACGAATGGAAAACACAAGAAAAGAAAATATGTTGCTGTGTTCGCTAACCTTCGCCTGGCGAAGCCTCTGGCGAACCTTCGCTACTTCGTTCGCCTGGCGAACTTGCCAGCGAAGACCACTGGGAGTTATTCTGGAATTACTCGCTAGCACACTCGCCTGGCGAACCTTCGTCACACTCATTCGCCTGGCGAACTTGCCAGCAAAGACAGGGTGTTTGCTACTGACTTGGTTCGCTGCTGCTCGCTGGGCTTCGCCTGGCGAACCTGCGAACTCAGAACTCCCATGGTTGTCCAAAAGCCCAAACCTCACAAACCGACTGATTCAATCCAAATCAGTTCCAGTAGTACAACCCACTCATCACCCGACTATACTACACCGTCTATTCCAAATTCTAACCGATAAAACTCAGTTTCTACCGATTAAACCAACTTCCGACCTAGAAATGGAAACATAGAAAACAATCCAACAAATCCAATCTAGCACATACGTGATTATATACATTATCAAGATGATAAAACTTCTCACCCTTACCTGATTAACCATAAGCTAGGGTTTAATCTTGATGTTTTCCAAAGTTTCCTCTTCTTTCTCTCCTCTTTCTCTTCTCCTTTTTTCTTTCTTTTTTCTTTCCTTCCTTTCTTACTATCTTTCTTTTTGTTCTATTTCCTCTTTAATATCTTCCTATTATTTTTCCCAAAACATCTACTAACTCAATATCTAATAAAATATCCAACTTATCATTTAAATAGGAAATGTCCAAAATACCCTCCAACTATTTTCTCCGAAAACTCCCAAAATCGGGTAAAATAGAACAATATGTAAACATAACATATTTCCACGAAAATTCCACATCAAAATAATATTCGCCCAATTAAAATAAAAAAGGACTTAACGAAAAAGGGGTAATCGAAATCGGGGCGTTACAACTTTCCCACAAACGGCGCCACTGATCTCACCTGATGAGAAAGGAGTCAGTGACCCACCACGCGTCGTGATCTAATGCCTTCATCGGAGTTGTGGAGGAGAAATGGGGTGTACATGCAAAATGCTCTGATGCCTAAGTAAGTACCGGAACTAGAGAGAGCAAGTACAGAGAAAAAGAGTGGAAAATAGAATACCTGACCCTCTAGTGAAAGAAGGTATTTATAATGTGCCCCAACGCAGGATTAACGGTTACATTGCATTAGCCTGGATTGCCAAGCCCAACACAAGTAACTGTCAGTGCTTACGTGGCATAGTGAAGACCAACACGTGGTCTTCGCCCTGGATCAACTGGCTCGTGATCTTCTGAAGGTGGGCTGACCATCTTTTTCCGACGTGGATAGTTGTCTGATGACGTGTCCCCACGTGGGGAACACGTGGAGAACATTGAGAAAGCGTGTAGACCTCCCCGTCTGGAGGTCTTCTGCCCAGGGGATGAGACTTGTTAAGGCTTCTCCCCGACGTAAAATATTGGGCCTTGTTGGGCCTTATCATCGTAGCCTTGGGTTGAGTATGCCCGGCGGAAGGACGTGTCTTGTCCCAGTCCAGAACAATATATATATATATATATATATATATATATATATATATATATATATATATATATATATATATATATATATATATATATATATATATATATATATATATATATATATATATATATATATATATATATATATATATAATAAGGGTATAATTGAAATAAAAAGTCATAAGCTAAAAGTTACAAGCTCAAAAGCTACTTCAAATAGCTTTTGAGAAAAAAAAGTTAAAAGCTAAAAGATAGTTAAAAAGCTATAAACTAAAAGTTAAAAGACACTTAACAAACAAAACTTTTTAATTAAAATGAGCTGAAAAGTTAAAAACTATAAGCTATAAACTCTTTTTTTGCCTTACCAAACAAACTCTCAGAATCTTCAAGCAACTCATCATTTATTCTTAGTCTTATAATCTTACACAGTTGAGCGGATATTGAAATACCCAATTTTTCTTTAAATATTTTATTATCATTAAAGCCTAAGAGATATATTATCAACAAGTTTTATTTTAACAAAATAGATACTATTAATATATAAAGAATTTCAATACTAAAATATTTGAAGATATATAATCTATCTATTTTATATCAAGTGTCTCTCTAGCAAATATCATCTTTATAATATTAGAAAATCATAAAGTTTTATCTTTTTTTATACAATATTAATTATCTTCTTTAATTCGCATAAAATATTTAAAATATTTTATAATTTAGGTTTATTTTTAAACTCTACTATTTAATTAATGCTAAATATTTTTATTTGAACCATACATAAAAAAATACATATATTTTAATATATTTATTATTTTAATTTGTATAATAATTACATAAATTTATCATTCGATTATAATTTAGAAATATTAACCTTAATATATTATATATTATAGTTTATAAAATTTGCTATTTTATCGTCTGATCGTTTTCGAGCTCCTAACTTTCGTTCTTGATTAATGAAAACATCTTTGGCAAATGTTTTCGCAGTTGTTCGTTTTTCATAAATCCAAAAATTTCACCTCTGACTATGAAATACGAATGCCCCCGACTGTCCCTATTAATCATTAAGTGGGTTTCAATATTAATATTAATAATAAAATCACAATTTAAAATTTAATTTAAAATAAATTATATTAAATTTAATAAAAGAAGATCAAAATTTTTTTAATTAGTCATTCAAACATAGGAATTAAAAAACGTTATTGTCAAAATTAGATTAAAATATGTATTAGAATGAGTGAGATAACTTAAATATATGATATTTGAGTTAAAAAATTGAAACTATTAGTTCAGACTTGAATTCAGTTGTGAATAAGTAATTAATAATTGTAAATCAACTACTTAAAAAATTTAAAATTCTATATAAGAAACCATTTTAAAAAAAAGTTAAAAGATTTTAATTTTCACTATATATTCTTTTATGTTTTTTTACTGAAGAGTGTGTCTATAAAATAGTTTGTATTTATAAAAATAACGTCCATACGGATACTCGCATGTTCGTCTGTTCGTTTTTTAATATACATATATAAAAATTTAAATGATATTTTTTATTTTAATTAATTTTAAATAAAAATTAAATAAAAAATTAATAAAAATTATTAAACAAATAATATATTAAAATAAAGATAAATGATAGAAAAATAGACTACCACAAAATAACATGTTTTGTTTTGTCTATATATAACTTATAGATTACTAATATTTCCCATATATATTACATTCTATACTTACTCTGTTTATTTAAGAAGGGAAGAAAAAGACACATACCTGTTTTTTGCGTTTTGCCTGTTTCGACTCAGTCTCCCACCTGTCTACTCTGTATCCATTCTCTCATGGCTATTCGCAATGTGCTCAACGGAAAATTTCTCAACCGGAGCTCCGTTACCGGAGCAAGGTTCATGTCTTCGTGGTTCAGAAACATCGAACAGGCTCCCAAGGATCCGATCCTCGGAGTTACCGAAGCTTTTCTCGCTGATCAGAGTCCGAACAAAATCAATGTCGGAGTAGTAAGTCCTCCATCTTTTCGTTCTTTCCCTGCTTCAGATCTTTTTCTGCATGTTAACGTAATTCGTTTCAGAAAGAGATTGAAACGAAATTATCAAATCTAGTCACCAGAACAGAGCAACACTATTTTTCTAATTGAATTTCGTTTACTTTTCCTATTCATATTTCAGATTCGTACATATCAGATTTGTTTTCGAAAACTGTATTTGCATGCACACTAAATTGTGATTTTCTTGATTTTATTTATCTGGAATGGATCAATATGTAACTTGAATTTCTGTGTTATTTGCAAATTACGAAAGGGTGCATATCGTGATGACAACGGAAAGCCGGTGGTTTTGGGATGTGTTAGAGAAGCAGAGAAGAAAATTGCAGGAAACGAATTCATGTGAGTGAAATTTATTTATTTTTTGGCTAATTCTAACATTGATTTTAGGATATTTGTTATAGATTTGAAAATACTGTATAAAAAGTATGAGAACCTGTTGAATACTGTATTTTTGTTAAATTAAGTGTTTGATTTTTGTGTATTCAACTTTAGTTGTATGAATGGAACTTTGATTTGGTTGCTTTCATGTGCCAATTTGTGGCGGTCACGTAACGCAACCACCCACTAGATGGTTTTACTTTTGCCTTTGTGCTGTAGATGGCATAATCTCTTTGGAAATAGGACGCTACCTAATTAATGTTGATGTGTGCTTTGACAGCTATAGCTATTCATGATTCCTTGATCTGTGTGGTGTTAGTGTAATAGGTTTCTCTCTTTAGGTGTTTTGGTATCATGTAGGGAATCCTGTTTTATTGCTGCTGCTTTTTCTGGTTTCAAAGATAAAAATTTGTGGGTACCACATCTCATAAGTTTTTATTGGAATGCGTACCAAGCTACTAAACAAGATGCTTAATGTAATTGGTTTTGTAGATGTGCAACTAGTTGGAAACTTCTACTTTTTTTATGTCAAATTTTAAATGGTAGTAACAGTATATTGCTACAGTGAATGGTCTTTTTTATTTTATTTTTTCAACTTTGCCTTTTAATAGAATAGTAGCATGTCACCTTGAATCCTTATCTCACCAACTGAGCTGCCTTGTGACGTTTTTTGGTTGTTGAGGAGAAGTGGAAAAACATTTGAAGTGGAAGCCACTAACTCTTTTCAACTGTTGACTTCTGCAACCCTGGCATGAAAACCAATTCGTTGATTTAGCTTTTATCACTTCTGGTTTGTAAAAACGTTTAACAATAAAGAAATAAACGATAACTTTGTCCCTAAATATAAGCCCCTCTAGATTAAATAACGGCAATTAAGAAAGTTGGTTGAAGTTGTTGTCATTGCTGCAATTGTTTATGTCATTGCTCTACATTGTTGCAATTGTTTGAGCAGGGAGTATCTTCCTATGGGTGGAAGCTTACATATGGTTCAAGAATCACTGAAGCTGGCATATGGAGAGAACTCTGAGTTCATCAAGGATAAAAGAATTGCTGCAGTTCAGGCTTTATCTGGGACTGGTGCATGTCGACTTTTTGCTGCATTTCAACAGCGCTTTCATCCCAACTCCCAAATCTATATACCAGTTCCCACCTGGTCCAAGTGAGTTTTTTTTTCCAAATCTTCCTTTAAATACCTCCATTGGCTTTTTGAGTCTAAAGAGTTTGGTATTCAGTTATAAATTTTGATCTTTTTCTTATGATGTAATGAATTACAGCCACCATAACATTTGGAGAGATGCTGGAGTGCCTATAAAGACATACCGTTACTATCATCCTGAGTCTAAAGGACTAGATTTTTCTGGACTGCTGGAGGACATTAAGGTATATTGCTCTGATTCATAGCATTTTTCCGACGCACTTTATCAAAGGTCAATTTTTATAGAAGATGTTTTGCTATTACTCTATACTCTTCACTCCATGAGGTGTCAGCTCCCTAGTAGGAGTTTGACATTGTAACATCAAAGGGCGAAAACTTTCCTTTTAAGAAAGTTTTGCAAATGACCATTAGTGTCACTTCAATTGATAATGATTTTTTTCTTTCTAAAACATATCATGCACTCTTGTTACCTCTTAAAATGGTTATTTGTTACACAGAATGCTCCCAATGGTTCCTTCTTTCTGCTTCATGCTTGTGCTCACAATCCTACTGGGGTAGATCCTTCAGAAGAACAGTGGCGAGAGATCTCTTCCCAAATCAAAGTAAACGGAAATGATATATTGAATCGTGGGATTTTGTTCTTCTTGTTTCAGTTATTGACTCTTGTTTCTGTTCACTGTTATGATTGCTTGCAGGCTAAAGGTCATTTCCCTTTGTTTGACATGGCATATCAAGGTTTTGCTAGTGGCAATCCAGAGAGAGATGCAAAAGCCATCAAGATTTTTCTCGATGATGGTCATTCAATAGGACTTGCTCAGTCATTTGCAAAAAATATGGGACTGTATGGCCAGAGAGTAGGATGCCTTAGGTAATTTTATATTAATCTTTTTAATACAGATATTTCCGTAAGTAACTAAAATATTAAAGTATAACTTCAGCGCAAAATTTAAATTTCCTTCTGCAAAGAAAACACTCATGATTTTGAGTTCATTACATTACAGCTTGCTTTGCGAAGATGAGAAACAAGCTGTGGCAGTAAAAAGTCAGTTGCAGCTGATTTCCAGACCCATGTACAGTAATCCACCTGTTCATGGAGCACTTGTTGTTTCAACTGTCCTTGGTGATCCGGAGTTGAAGAAGCAATGGCTCACAGAAGTTAAGGTAAAGCGTTACTATGTCGAACTTCCCACCTCTCTCAACCTTTTCTTTTTCCTTCAAGTACTTCATGCTAAAAACACCACACTAATGCAGCAGCAGTACGCTATTGTTAAGAGTCTCACATCGGACAATATATGGCATAAACATGTGTTTATAAGTGGGGGCAATCCTCACTCTACCAAGCTGGTTTTGTAGGGTTGAGTTAGGTCCAACCACATTTCTAAACATGATCCGGTGGGCCACCTTGAGCGTGAGGGGGTGTGTTAAGAGTCCCACATCAGACAATATATGGTATAAACATTTTGCTAAAGTTGAAGGGGTAGAATATATCATGCATATATCTTCAACAGTCTCTTGCTTTTGATCTCCAATGGCATTATGTCTATATACTGTAAATGAGAATGCTCAATTAACATAATTGGTGGATCATCAACATACTCCCTCTGTCTCAAATTATAAGTTACTTTGCAAAAAAAAAAAAAAAATTGTTCCAAATTATAAGTCACTTGCCAAAAAAAATTATCCCAAATTATAAGTCACCTTACATTCTTACAGTTATATTAATGACATTTTCTCCAATATACCCTCAAGTATTTATTATTCTTTATTCTTCTAACTCTTTTAATTCATCTCTCCTGTATAATTATGTATAATTATGAGGGACATTATTGTAAAGTCATACATAATTTGTCTTTTCTATAAAATAATAATTAAATTTCTTAATTCGTGTGACATGCCTAAAATGTCTTATAATTTTGGGACAGAGGGAGTACATCATTGTGATGTTTCTAGTCTTTTAAGATTATGTTACGTCTGTTTATATGCCACTTATTTCTGTCTCTATATTTAGTTTTGTGAATAATCAATAATGTTATTCTATAATCTATATTAATATATTCCAAATGATAATTTAATAAGAATATGATCAATGCAAAATTATAAACAGGCATAAATAAGTTGTGACAATGGATAGAAAATGAACTTTCATTGATGGCTTCTTTACAGGTTATGGCAGACCGCATCATTGGAATGAGGACTGCACTACGAGAGAACTTGGAAAATCTGGGTTCTCCTTTGCCATGGAAGCACATAACCAATCAGGTTCTGTATAATTTGTTGAATGCACTTCTCTTTCAACCACTCTTTCCTCTTCTTTGCTTATTTTAGTTGCTTCAAATATTTTCACCCCCTCCCCATTACTTTTAAGGTAACTTGGAGACCAAGCATCTTTGGTTTATTGAAGGATTGAACTAACATCATTATCACACATCAAAGTGTTAAAACCAAGTTTTCAAACAAGTATATGTTACTATTTGTGCAGATTGGCATGTTCTGCTACAGTGGTATGACACCAGAACAAGTTGATCGTTTGACAAGCGAGTTTCATATTTACATGACTCGTAATGGTCGTATAAGGTGAAACATTTAATCTTAAGTTATTTCTTTCTACCACCATTTACTTTACATCATGAGTTCCTTGGAGATAGGAGCTTACTGTTTACTTACATTACATATATGTGATTATGACAGTATGGCTGGTATTAATTCGGGCAACGTTGGATATGTGGCTAACGCAATCCATGAGGTTACAAAATAGACTCATAAATCAGTTATGCGGCGTACCAAATTTTTGTCCTTGGAAACATCAAAACCTCAGCGGTAGTTTTTATTGGAGGGAGCACAATAAAATCTGGGAACTTGTAACCTCATTTGCTATTCAAAAGTTTGAATAATTTGAGATGTAGATTGAATAAGAGGTTTCATAATTCATTAATGATTAATCTTAATACAGTTTCACTCAATGTGAAAAGGATTATTATTGGATGTGAATCTATATGATTTTTTTATGCTAGAAGCCTAGAGCCAATATTTAAAACCTTAGATTATCTAGTTTGATTGCGGCTAATTATGTTATGATAATATTTCTGCCTGTGTTGAAAATGGAAAATGGTAGTATTTAATAATTTAACTGAGCGTTTCAGGGAAAATTAAAACTAACCATTCTCCAATCTTTACATATAGGAGCATTGACTTGAGGTCAAAATCCTTGATGATTTTATTGGGTCTTGCTAAGATGTGTTTGAAAAATTTTAAAATTGTGTTGAATTTTATTTTAAACTTTCGATCAATTGAATACATATTTTCCAATTTTCTGTGTTACTACATTTTATTTAAACACAAGGAACGAAGTCCAAATTTCACGAGACAGTTGTATAGTTATCTGGTTTTATTTACAAACAGAAGTTGTTTATGTTACTCTTGTTAAGAAAATAGTTATATTTACCAAACTTTCAATTTTTATAATAATTATGAATTTAATTGTTATGCATTGACATTATAAAACTTTTTTACACTATTAATTAATCACTATCATGTAACCTACTACTTTACTCTATAAATTTATTTTAAGTTAATGATATGACATGGTAGATTTAAGAATTCCTATGAGATGATAGTATAAAATTATTATTCAATAAATTTATTATAAATTTATTTTAAGTTACTGATAGATTCATAAATTCCTATTGAATGATAGTATAAATTTATTGGATGATAGTATAAAATTATTATTCTATAAATTTATTTTAAGTTACTGTTATGACACGGTAGATTCATGAATTTCTATTGAATGATAGTATAAAATTATTTTATACTGATATGACATGGTAGATTCATGAATTCCTATTGGATGATAGTATAAAATTATTATTCTGTAAATTTATTATAAATTTATTTTAAGTTACTGTTATGACATGGTAGATTCATGAATTTTTATTGAATGATAGTATAAAATTATTTTACACAGTACATACCAATTAAACTCAATAATTATTATATTAAAATTACATTAAGACTATCCACTAATTTTAGAAAAGAAATGTATTTTTAATTATACAAAATTAATTTGAATTTATTGACATTGTTTATATTTGAGATAAAAATAATATTTAGGATAACTTATTGCTTATAAATAAAGGGCAGAGGAATAAAATCATTAGTGTCCTTATTAGTAAAATAGAAATGAAATGATGAGTTTAATTCAAGTGTGAGGTATTGATCAGTTAATTTTACCTCACTAAATTTTAAATTTTATTTTTATTTTATTCAATCTTTCTTTTTTAAATTTTATATATAAATATAATTTATATTCTTTCTTCATATTCTATTAGTTTTTATTTAATTTTTTTTAAAAAAATTTATATTATTAATATAATTAATATTTTTTCCTCGTATTCTATTTGTTTTTCTTATTAAATATTTTAGTATTATTTTATACAATTTAAATATCTTTTGTATTTAAAAACATATTATAATATTTATAAAAGATAATATAATATTTAAATATATATTATCTTTAAAATAATATAAGTTTTAACTTCATTTATAATAAATATTATAAAATTTATAATTACTTTTTTATTAAAAAACATTCATTTAGAATCGAATAGTCCGAAATTCATTTAGGACTAGATTCGGATGGTAATCTTCTAACCCATATTACAACAAAGTTTTTTTTGACCCAATTCTAAAAAATCCAAGACACACCAGGACCGACCATTTAGGACTAGATATCCCATTTTCACACACACACACACACACACACACGCACGCACGCACGCACGCACGCACGCACGCACGCACGCACGCACGCACGCACGCACGCACGCACGCACGCACGCACGCACGCACGCACGCACGCACGCACGCACGCACGCACGCACGCACGCACGCACGCACGCACGCACGCACGCACGCACGCACGCACGCACACACACACACACACACACACACACACACACACACACACACACACACACACACACACACACACACACACACACACACACACACTAGTTCTCGATAGAAGAAATTGGGACAAATTGGTGACACAAATGAAAGAGATTTTTGGTGCACAAGATGTTTGCGGTATAATGGAAACGAGATTGGAAGTTTTGCTTGAAGATGAAAGTGTAACACAAAGCAAAACACACAAAAAAGACAAGAAAAGAGATTGCATTACTATCTTCCCCATTCATCAAACGGATTCAAATGTGTTTTTAAAAAATCTCTGGTGAAACTAGGTCCAAAGTTGTATGGGACAAGTTGAAAAGGTATTTTGGTGGTGATGTCATAGTCAAGAAGGTGAAGTTGTAGTAATTAAGAAAATCTTGAAACAATGTGGTGAATCTCTCAGTGAATTAAAATAGTGAATTGAAACAATTACAAATCAAATGAAACAGTGTAGTGAATCTCTCAGTGAATTGAAGATCATTGAGAAAATCTTGAAAACCTTGCCTCATTTCTTTAATCACATAATGGTGACCATCATAGATACAAAGGACTTGGATAACAGAAAGATCGAAGAATGGTAAAACACTCTTGAATCTCATAATATGAATATAGCTGAAAGAGAAATTGAAAAACAAGATGAACAAGTACTCCTAGCAAAATTCAAGAAACTAGAGGAGAGCAAGTAAAAATGGAAGAAGGAAAAGGGAAATAATCCATACAAAGAAAGACAAACGGTTGATGTCAAGTCTGAAACATCAAGCAGAAATGGTGAAGGGTCTGCCAAGAACCAAAACAAAAAGAAGATCTTTGACAAGAGAAAGGTACAATACTAAAAATATGAGAAGATGAGACATTATATAGATAAATGTTGACTAGGTAAAGGAAATAAGCCAAAGAATGGTGAAAAAGATGACAATATAGCTCAAGAAAATTTTGGCTCAAATCCAGATATGCTTATGGTTGCAAGTGATGTTGAGATTTGAAACTCTCAAAATTGGTATATTGATACTAGTTGTAACAATCACATGAAAAGAAAGAAAGAGTGGTTGGTTTATTTTTATTCAAGCAAGAATACTAAGATCAAATCGGCTGATAAAAAATCTATTTTAGCAGAAGGTATGGGACATGTGGCCTATAAAGGAAGGATGGAAAAGTAGTAATGATCAATGATGTGTGGTTTAATCCAAATATGCAATGATAGAGTATAAGGAAGCTAGTTTAGAAGGGTTATTTAGTGTTCATGGAGAATTAATATTTGAATTTGTTTGATTCCAAGAAGAGGTTGATCCTGAAGTCTTGTTTGTCAAGAAACAAAACTTTCATGGTATGTATTTAATATTCAGACGTAATGTTTTTTGTTGCAACATCACATGAACAAAAAGCTAAGGTATGGCATAAAAAGTATGGTCACTTGAACTACAAAATCCTAAGTAAACTAAATTTGAAAGGGATGGTGCTAAATCTCTTAGGTACACACCCTTAGAAACTTATGTGTTGTATATTTTGTAGGTAAGCAACCTAGACTGACATTCAAGTTTAGTTTGCCTATGAGAGTCAAGGAAGTGTTAGGTGTAGTTCACTCAGACATTTGTAGGCCATTAGAAGTACTTAATCATGGTGAAAACAAATACTTCATCGCCTTTATGGATGATTTTTCTAGGATATTGTGATTTTTCAAATTATTCATAATGATGATTAAAAGGTAAAGTGTAAATTTGGTGAAGATCTTGAGAACTGACAGTGGAAGTGAGTATACTTTGATGGACTTTGAATCCTTTTGTGTAAGACAGAGTATCATTCATGAAATCACAACTTCATACATTCCCTAAAACAATGGCATGGAAGATGAAGCCATGAATTTGAAAGTTAGAAGTGAAGATGTTACAAGCTTATTAGTACCATTGCACTCTAAAACTTATGAAATGGTGGAGGATGGTACTCATGACACAACATATAATGTAGACTCGGCTGAAGAACCTGCACCAACACAAGTCAAACCACAAAACGAAAGGAAACATTCAAAAGGACTAGTTGGTTGTGAGCTAGTACCTGACAATGAAGTAGATATTGATGGAGAAATGATGCATCTTTCAATGGTTGTAGATGTTAAGCTATTTGAATATCTATCAACACTTAAGGATCAAACTTGGAATTATACTACAATTGAAGTGTTAACCTCTATAGAGAAGAACAAAACTTTGGAACTAACTAAGTTGCTTATTTCTAAGAAGTCCATTGATGTGAGATAAGTGTTCAAAATCAAGGCAAAGCACAAAGCTAGAATTTTTGTAACATGATTCTTGAAACGACAAGGAGTTGACTATGATGAAATATTCTAATATGTGGCAAGATATGAGTCCATCAAACTATTTGTGGCTTTGACTTTAAATAGAGGATGACCTATATTTCACCTAGATGTAAAACCATATTTCCTAAATGGTCATCTAGAAGAGGAGGTTTTCATAGTCCCACCTCCTCGTTTTGTAATTAAGGGAAAATAATATCAGGTATACATGTTACACAAAGCATTGTTGGTCTGAAACAAGCACTAAAGTCCTAGAACAAAATAATTGACAAACTTTTATGGAGATTGGGTTCAGAAAGTGCGACTTTGAACATGATGTTTATGTTAAAGGAAAAGAAAGGGAAAGTTTGCTAATATTTTTCCTTTATTTGGATGACCTTCTAGTACTGGAAGTTATGAGAAAGAAAATGACCAGTTCAAAAATAAGATGAAGTTAGTCTTTGTTATGACTGACTTAGGCAAGCTAGCTTATTTTCTTGGCGTGAAATTCTTAGACGCCT